CGAAGAGAACCGAACCAGGAAGTCAAGGAAGCAGGACCAACGAACCAAGACCAAGAAATTGAGACCAAGGAGTCAAGCAACCAAGACCAAGGAACCAAGGAACCAGGTCCAAGGAACCGAGGGACTGAGACCTAGAAACCAAGGGACCGAGGAACCGAGGAGCCAAGAACAACGAACCAAAGAACCTATGCCACTGAACCGAGAAACCAAGGCCATGGAACCAAGGAGCCAAGTCCAGGGAACCAAGAAACAAAGCCCGACGAACCAAACAAGCAAAGAGCCAAGACCGAGAAGCCTAGGAATCCCAGGCAACCCCCTGTAAAGGAACAGGTCCAAGTAACCTCAGGGAACCCGGCGACCACCGCGACCGGCAGCCATCGAATTCTTCACACACCTACGCGGCCAAATGTAGTTGCTTGCAGAAAAAATGGCGTCAGCGCCGCATTCGAGATGCCCACCTGTGCTTCGCGCCCCGCGGCGCGAAGCCGGGTCCAATCTGTCACTGTGCGATTTAGCCTCCCCCCGATGTCCCGCCGGGCCACAGTAGGCGGTTTCTCAGCCGTTGTCGTCTGTACGGCATATCTGCACGCACGAAATGAGTACGGAAAGAATGGGTACAACGCCCAACAGCAGTTCCTGTTCATCTTGAACAGGGCTCGCTGTCCGCGCCGCCGCGGCCTGTGTCCGTTCGAGACAGGAGGCCGCCTGCCCAACAGCGGCCGCTGTTGGTTTGGGACATCATTTGCTGTTGGGCATTGTACCCATTTGTTCGGTACCCATTTCAGGCGTCCAAAGCATATTTCCCCCCGTGGCGGTGCTGGAGGGCAGACGGCTGGGGTAGGCGGGTTTGCTGGGTGACGGGCTGGTTGGGTCGGTTCTGGGGTTCTTCTTAGGCAATCGTGGGGCCCTCGTGGGGGCCTCTGGGGCCGTCTTGGGGCGATCTGGGGGGCCTCTTGGGCCGTTTTGAACGCCGTTGTATGGTTTCCCTGAGGAGTTTTTCACGTTTCGCATATTCCCACCAGCCCGCTCAGAAATCCTGCCCATGAGAGCTGACGGGAAAAGGAACGAAGAGACATATAGTGAAACTAAACGGGCAACCAGGATGACCAGAGAGATCTTTGGGAGCAAGGGGGAGGAGCAGGAGCAGGAGGAGGAGGAGGAGCAGGAGGAGGAGGAGGAGGAGGCACACCGCCTCTTGGGGACCTTGTTGAACTCTCTTAGGGCGCTCTTTGACGCTCTTGGGGCTCTCTCGGGGCCCTCTCGCAAGCCCTGGAGGGCCTCTTGAGGCCATCGTGGAGGCGATTGGTTAAAAAGGGAGGGGGTCCTACATGTCCGTCCCCCCCTCTGGGGCCATCAACATCGCTTTGGGGGGGCGTTCTTGGGCCGATCTTAGGCGCTCTAAGGGCCGTTTTGGGTGCCTCTTGGGCCTTTCGTGGGGCTGCCTGCGGCTCGGCCATCTCGGGGCAACCTCGAAGCCTCAGCCGCGCATCGGAAGCGGAAAGGCGAGAAAGCATACATGATTGAGTTCTTGTAGGTGTTTGAAAGATGTTGGTTTCTTGGAGGGGTCCTCTGGGGCTCCTCTTGGCCTTGTAGCTCTTGGAGGTGCGTCGGAAGCTATCTTGACCCGTGTTGGGTTATCTCGAGCCGCCTTGGGGACCATCTTGGAGCATCGGAGACCCTCCTGAGCCATCTTGGGCGAATCAGGACCCTCTGACACATCGTGGCCTCCGCGAAAACAAACGCAGGAAGGGGAGGGGGAGGGTACCTCTCCCCGAAGGGAAGAGGGTTTAGAAGAAGAGAGGAAGAAATCGGTAGACCACCTACGCAGAAAAGGGCTGGTGGGATTACACGATGTGTGCCTCTGGGGGTCCTCTTGGGAGGCGTTCTGGGTGCTTTGTTTCGGCCATAGTCAGGCCACCTTGAGCATTTTAGACTAATCGTTCGGTGATTTGGTGCCCTCTTGCTTGGACGGTATGTGGGGCCTCTTGGGGAGCTCTTGGCCCGTCTTGGGGCCTTCTTGTGTCAGAAAGTCACTGCGGGAAGACGCGCAGGGGCCCCGGGGGCACGCGAGACGCCGAGAGAGGTGCTGCTTTCTGGGGTCTGGCCTCTTAAAGAATTCTCAGGATTGAGGGGTGACGCTCAAGTGATTCGGCCAAGGACCTGAGGACACTCCAACTCGTGCCTCAGGGTATGGTGGCAGACATGTGTGCAGATGATATATTCCATAATTTCACATTCTGCATGGAGAACCTCCCCCCCGATGGCCCACACCTCCCTCATACTTTTTTCGACGGTCTTCCCCAACCCCATGGCAACTTTCGAAGGGACTTCCAAGCTTTCCCAACCAGCCGCCCGCGCGCCGAACGATCGGCTGAAACTCTTTACATGGCGTCCTGTCGGCCCAAGACGCCCGATGACGGCTCCCAAACGGCCCCAAACGGGCCCACAAGACTCCCAAGAGCGACGCGACATGCAAACATCAACGCTGGTTCTAAGGTTTTTGACAGATATTGACGTTCTCGTCATTCCGCACATCCTGCATCCCACGACGGCCCAAGAGGCTCCCGAGATCCCCCCCAAGACGGCCCAAGATGCTTCCAAGACAGCCCCGAACCGGCCCAACAGAGCCCCCAGACGCCCAAGTTGGCTCCAAGACGGCGTGCAGCACGCCCCACAGACGCCTAGGGGCGCGCCCAATATAGCCCCCACGGGGCACCCGATGGCCCAAGAAGCCCCCGAGAGAGTCCCAAGGCGGCCCACGAGGGCTCCAAGACGGCCCAAGAGAGCCTCAAGAGGGCCATAAGAGGCCCCCTGGACGGCCGAAGAGGGAGCCCTGGGATGTGAACCTTGGCTCTGGGGCACCGTCCGTGCAACTCCCTGTGGGGTACGATCCGTGTGAGGAGACAGCCGACATACGTGAGGGGACGTGCCGTTACGCGAATCCTCGGACTATGGCCGCACGTGAACTACATCCCTCTTGGACACGATCCGTGTGATGGGTGTGCCGAGTCGGGCGGAATGACTCCGTGCGAATTTTGACACTGGACCTGCAAGTGGAGCTCCCGGGGAAGGCTATGTGAACCTTGTTTTCCTACGGAGCGGTAGGATTATCGCTTGTACTTTTTCTCACCTTTCCCACAGCCCACTTCTCCTCCCCTCTTCTCCTCCTCTTCCTTCTCCTCCTCCTCCTCGCCCTCCTTCATCTCCTCCCCTTCCTCCTCCTCCTCCTCTTCCTCCTACTCCTCCTCCTCCTTCACCCCCTCCTTCGCTTCGCTCGCGCCGTTTGCAGTACTTCGGTGATGGTGCTTCCGCCAATCCGTGGCCGCATCCTGATCCAACATTGGCGCAGCCACCCCAGCGCTGGCTACATTCTCCAATACGAGCGGTACTGTCGCCTCAAAGCCAGCCACAGTGTTCATTGCAGATGATGTTGCCAGTCGCGCACAAGCCCCATTCATGGATGGGATTGGCGCTCTCGCCCGAGCGCTGGCCACACCCCTGTCTGGGAGTCATGCTGCCGTCTGCGCGCTGGCCAAATCCGTCATGGAACGCGGCACTCATTTCGCAGCGCCAGGCACCCCCTCATTGACTATTGTGATGCCGCTCCACTCGCACGATTTCCACAGCCCTCATGGGAGAGTGGTGCTCCGCCCAAGCGCCAGCCACATCCGTTTCCAAGATTTGTGCTACCTCCCCAGCGCCGGCCGCATCCGTGTGTGAGATTGGTACTCTCTTTTGAGCCTCGGCTACATCCGTCTTTTGCGAGCGCCACCTCTGACGCGAGGCAACTGGCGACCGCAGCTGCCGTCCCTTCGTGCTGGGCGAGTGCCGAACCTGGCGTTTGGTTTGGACGGAACGCGTCGGGTCTGTTGCCAATCTGGGCTGCGCCAGGTTGGCCCCCCCCCACATCAGGTTCGGGAATGGGTCGTAGCAACACTGCGGCTACATCAATATGCTAACCGCAGGGTCAATCAGACATGTGACATGTAGGTGCAAGGATCAATATTCCAAGGCGAAGCGCAGCGAGCCTTAAAATCTTGTGCACATGCATGTATGTATATGTTCCAATCGTGCGAAGACCTTCCCGGGGAACCCCGCTGGCGATCCCATCTTGGGACACGCCGGGCCCCCTAGGAGGGGCGGCATACTGACCCCCCCACCCCCCCCTGGCAGGGAAGGGACAACGGGAAGGGAGTCGACTTCACCACGAAGTTCCTTAGGACTGACGACGACCACGACGACGACGACGACGGCGACAGCGTCTCTCACACGCGGAAGGGTCAGAGGATTTTGGGATCCATTTGGAATGCTTCCGCAAGTGTAGCCGATATGGTTCGACCCCCGCACTTTCTTCTATGTTTGTGTTGCAGTGTTTGTGAGCTGCCAGGACTCGTACCCCCGTCTTGGTTACAGCGGGAGGTCCACGGTGCCCATGAGTCTACAGAGTGCGCAAATTTGCCGCCCGGATTGAACGCATTTCCATCTTGAAGCAATCAGTGACGCACTTCCTCTATTTGTGTAGTCTAGTTGTTTGCGAACGGTCGCCCGCATCTAAGACCTCTGCTGGGCAGAGCGAGATGAAATGCCCATATATTTCTGGTCCTACCAGGAGTGCGAGTACGGGCTAGGAGCTATGATGCCACACACACCCTACCATTGCGAGCCCTCCTGGACCAATGTGTGTTAGCAGGTTTTCGAACGGCCTCTTTGGTCCAGCCTTCACCTGCAAGCCCTGGGAGAGAGTTGCAGGTCCTTTTTGATTTTGGACCGACGACGGTGGGGATGATGTTTGGTTTAGGGTGAGGGTGCCTGCTGGGATGTCAGAGGTGTCGAGGGTGGGAATGAAGATGAAGGGGGAGTGAGGGTGGTGCGGATGAGTATGAGGGAGACGATGTGAATGAGATGAAGAGTGTTTTGGCTCTTGCGCGTGTCTCTCCAGGGTCACAAGGACTCGAGTTTAGATTGGGAAATATGGATTCTCCAATTGAAGCCAATGCCAGGTCCAGCGCGATCTTGTCATGGTCAGCGGAAAGAAGCACATGGCTCGGCTGGAGGACAGTCATGTGCGCCCGCTTCTATCTGCTGCTGCAGCCCGTTGCGTTCCTTAGTTCTCTCCCCTGCCAGCCCGCCTGCTTATAAGTTGCCAGTGATACGTTCTCGCCTCGCCAGCCTACCACAATGCGAGGCGACATGGACCCCTTGGCACGCCCCAGATGGGATCAGCATCAACTGGGTCGATGCAGAACATCAAGCAACATTGTCCGAAAGGCAGAGGATCTTGTTGGCCTGACGACGTTGGCAGCTGAACGGACCACGTCCGCTGTGAAACCAGCACATGGAGCGTGCCCCGATCAGGGCCGGCTACTGGGGCACGAGTAGATCGTATCGAGAGATAGCGCCGCATTGCAGTTGCATCGTCGATGCGGCGCGACCTCGGCCACGATTCTTTTTCCATCCCGACGTCGCCCGATGCGTCGACAATCCGGTGGGATCCTCTGACCTCGGCTGCTCTGGGGCCTCCGGAGGCCCAAACAGAGCCAAAAGTCGCCCAGGGACCTCGATCCTCGATCTTCTTCTCCCCCGCCTGCGCTGGCCCCTTGCTGGCGGCTTCGCTTCGGACTGAGCCCGCGGGGATGGGGTTGGTGGTGTGTCAGCGTCTGCGTGGCTGATGCTGGATCGGTTGGGAGAGCTTGCCATCCGCGCCATACCCGATGCCGTTCCGAGGCCAAGCGTCGGAATACAAAAGCTTGTGGGGGAGGCCACCGAGGTCTAGCACCCTGCAGCGCCGATCGGCCCCGTACTCCTCGGCGGGAAGAATCTCGGGAGACACATTTGCACACCAGCCGCAGCGAGGGCAGCATTCGAAGAGCCTCGTCCTCGTCCTCCACGTCGTCATCGTCCTCGCCGCCGCCGCCGCCGCCGCCGCCGCCGTCGTCGTCGTCGTCGTCGTCGTCGTCGTCGTCGTCGTCGGTGGTCCGCGCGGATTTGTTTGGTCGGCTTTGGGCCTTGGCGTCGCCTCAGGCGCTGCCCCTGGCTGGCGCGCTCCACGTGCCAGGGAGGGGTCCAGTTCCCAGTCGCGAAATCCGCACTGATCTCCGAGAAATCCGAGCATGTTCTTTGGGTGAAGGGCAAAGGATGAAATCTGAAATGCCGTTTCGATCCATTTCCGAGGCTCGAATCTGCAAAAGGTGAATCAGAAGACGGATGGGTCTTCGAGAAACATCCCATATGGATTGCAGCCTGAGCCCTCCACCCCAAGAAAATGTTCAGGAAATGATGCTTATGCTGTCTTGTTCCTGTTCTGAGCATGCAGAGAGGCTACCGTGCCTTTTGCGGCGCGCGAGGGGCGTGCCACGGCTGCCCCCCGGCACCCGGCGCCATCCAGGCGTCGAGGCGTGCGGGCCCGCCACACAGCCCCAATGCGTTGTTCATCGGAGGTTGCGAGGACGCTTCGGCGACGAAATCCAAGTCCATGGTGATGATGATGATTATGATGATGATGGTGATGATGATGATGACGATGGTGATGATGGTGTTGATGATGTTGATGGTGTTGATGGTGTTGTTGTGGCTGTTGTATCTGTTGGTAATGAGGATGATGACAACGACGATGAGGATGATAATGATGTTCATGATGATGATGGTGATGATGATGATGTGATGTTGCTGCTATTGATGTTGCTGATTATTATGGTCTTGTTGTGGATGACGGTGCTGCTGATGATGATTGTTGTGGTGATGATGATGATGATGATTATGATGATGATGGTGATGATGATGATGACGATGGTGATGATGGTGTTGATGATGTTGATGGTGTTGATGTTGTTGTTGTGGCTGTTGTATCTGTTGGTAATGAGGATGATGACAACGACGATGAGGATGATAATGATGTTCATGATGATGATGGTGATGATGATGATGTGATGTTGCTGCTATTGATGTTGCTGATTATGATGTTCTTGTTGTGGATGACGGTGCTGCTGATGATGATTGTTGTGGTGATGATGATGATGATTATGATGATGATGGTGATGATGATGATGACGATGGTGATGATGGTGTTGATGATGTTGATGGTGTTGATGGTGTTGTTGTGGCTGTTGTATCTGTTGGTAATGAGGATGATGACAACGACGATGAGGATGATAATGATGTTCATGATGATGATGGTGATGATGATGATGTGATGTTGCTGCTATTGATGTTGCTGATTATGATGTTCTTGTTGTGGATGACGGTGCTGCTGATGATGATTGTTGTGGTGATGATGATGATTATGATGATGATGGTGATGATGATGATGACGATGGTGATGATGGTGTTGATGATGTTGATGGTGTTGATGGTGTTGTTGTGGCTGTTGTATCTGTTGGTAATGAGGATGATGACAACGACGATGAGGATAATGATGTTCATGATGATGATGGTGATGATGATGATGTGATGTTGATGATCTGATGATGATGGATGATGACAACGACGATGAGGATGATAATGATGTTCATGATGATGATGGTGATGATGATGATGTGATGTTGCTGCTATTGATGTTGCTGATTATGATGTTCTTGTTGTGGATGACGGTGCTGCTGATGATGATTGTTGTGGTGATGATGATGATGGTGATGATGATGATGACGATGGTGATGATGGTGTTGATGATGTTGATGGTGTTGATGGTGTTGTTGTGGCTGTTGTATCTGTTGGTAATGAGGATGATGACATCGACGATGAGGATGATAATGATGTTCATGATGATGATGGTGATGATGATGATGATGATGTGATGTTGCTGCTATTGATGTTGCTGATTATGATGTTCTTGTTGTGGATGACGGTGCTGCTGATGATGATTGTTGTGGTGATGTTGATGATGATTATGATGATGATGGTGATGATGATGATGACGATGGTGATGATGGTGTTGATGATGTTGATGGTGTTGATGGTGTTGTTGTGGCTGTTGTATCTGTTGGTAATGAGGATGATGACAACGACGATGAGGATGATAATGATGTTCATGATGATGATGGTGATGATGATGATGTGATGTTGCTGCTATTGATGTTGCTGATTATGATGTTCTTGTTGTGGATGACGGTGCTGCTGATGATGATTGTTGTGGTGATGATGATGATGGTGATGATGATGATGACGATGGTGATGATGGTGTTGATGATGTTGATGGTGTTGATGGTGTTGTTGTGGCTGTTGTATCTGTTGGTAATGAGGATGATGACAACGACGATGAGGATGATAATGATGTTCATGATGATGATGGTGATGATGATGATGTGATGTTGCTGCTATTGATGTTGCTGATTATGATGTTCTTGTTGTGGATGACGGTGCTGCTGATGATGATTGTTGTGGTGATGTTGATGATGATTATGATGATGATGGTGATGATGATGACGATGGTGATGATGATGTTGATGATGTTGATGGTGTTGATGGTGTTGTTGTGGCTGTTGTATCTGTTGGTAATGAGGATGATGACAACGACGATGAGGATGATAATGATGTTCATGATGATGATGGTGATGATGATGATGTGATGTTGCTGCTATTGATGTTGCTGATTATGATGTTCTTGTTGTGGATGACGGTGCTGCTGATGATGATTGTTGTGGTGATGTTGATGATGATTATGATGATGGTGATGATGATGATGATGACGATGGTGATGATGATGTTGATGATGTTGATGGTGTTGATGGTGTTGTTGTGGCTGTTGTATCTGTTGGTAATGAGGATGATGACAACGACGATGAGGATGATAATGATGTTCATGATGATGGTGGTTGTGGATGACGGTGTTGCTGATGATGATTGTTGTGGTGATGATGATGATGGTGCTGTTGCTGATGGTGATGATTATGATGTTGCTGATGATGATGATCGTGTCAAGCTCCTGGCAACCACCAGGAGTAGCAGGGCCCAAACAAGTGTGTCCAACATCAGCATCATCATCATGATCATCAGCGTCATCTTCTTTATCAGGATCATGGGCAACAATCCTCATCATCTTCATCATCAGCCTCTTCATCAACATTAGTATCGACACAGTCATACTCATCATTACTTTCATCACCATCAACATCATTATCATCATCAGCATCAGTAGCATCAGTATTAATATCACCATCGCCATCATCATCATAATCATCACCATAATCATAGTCACCATCACCACCACAGCATCACCTGCATCAGCATCAGCACCACCATCAGCATCATCATCCTCATCATAATCAGTTTCACCATCATCATCGTCATCATCATCACCGTTATCAGCACCACCAACATGATCACGATTTTCATGATTCCCCGTGTGGTCTCGCATGATTTTCGCATATTTGCTGATCCGCTGATCAGGGCGCTCACTACGGGCAAAGAGACCCGCAAGCTCGGCGTAGACGGCCCACAGCGGCCCCAAGAGGGGCGCAAGACGGGCCCAAGATACGCCCAAGACGCTTCAAAAGGCCCCCCCAGAGGGGCTCAAAGGAAGGCTCTAAGACGGTCCACGATGGGCCGAAGACGTCCCCAGTACGGCCCCAAAGACGGCCCAAGACCCCCCCAGCCCAAAGCAGCCCCAAAACAGTTCCAAAAGGCTTCCAAGATGGCCCAGGAGACCCCACAACGGATCCAAAAACGGGTACAACATCCCCCCCAAACAGCATCTCCGGCATGCGTCCAAGAGGCTCCAAGACGGCCCAAAGACGGCTGGAGATGGCTCGCAAGATATTCAAGAATTCCCCCGAGAAGCCAAGGTCATCGATCTTGAGCCAGTGCGACCCCGAGGGTTGCCTGGCCTTCGTTGCACCGTGGATTGGCCTTGGTTGCGTGCACCACGAAGCCAGATTCAGGGGCCCTTTTTGATCAGCTCAGCATCTGGTCCTCGTGTGGATCCACAGAAGCGCAAGCAGCGATGAAGAGGTCTACAAGACTCCCGTACACGTCGCCTGGATCCCCAAATTTCCCTCCGCAGGGCGCTTTACCAATTTCCCGCCCAGCTTCATGGATTCCTCATTGGCAATTTGCGATGCCA